GAGGACATTCATTTAACATCTCAGACTCTATTTGTCGGCTCCTGGCAGTCGGCAGCCGTCAGTCCACTGTTGACTGGAGGTTGACAAAGTGGAAAGATTTGGAAATTGAACGTTTCCTTCAAGCACTTCTGAAGGGCCCACAAAGTGGGCTTTTGAAGTTTGATTAAGCTAAGCATGTGTTACCACATGCATGTAACAATCTGCAACATCGAGCAATACAAGCCTGCTGAAGAGGGTCCTTCTTGAAGCTGCATTTTGTCTCTGGCAAAGGTGCTGTTTTTGCAGACAGATTTGTCTCAGCCCATGCGCAACGACAGCCATGTGCATGTTCCCCAACAACTTGCCTACTTTCTAAGTGACCCAATGTCATTCTCGGGAGTTTTTTGCTTGGACCCTTTCTCGCTGTTTTGCCGGCGGAGTAACGGGGGGAAAAAAGCGTAGGAGTTCAATCACCTTCGCTGATTTTTACTTACATAGTTCCACAAGCGTGATCTCTCCCAGCGAGTACCCGTGGTACCCTGACTTTGGGCAGCCAATTCTAAAAATGGGGGGAAGCGTGCACATTCCTGGATATTTATAGCATCTGGCTGACGCCATTCTAGTCGAAAAGTTGATGGAGTTACTTCGAAGTTGCTACGATCTGTGCAGCACCTGCTGAAAGACAATGAACGAAATGTGGCTGGTAACCTTCTTGATGCACCACTCACTAGCAGATTAACACGACTTGCTTTTGACGTAGGTGATTGTTGCTGTGGGTTAGAATGACAACAACAGTTTGAAACTGCCTCCACCTGCTTTCTGACGACAATCGCAACGTTGTGAGAGCATGAGCGGCGACGAATCAATACCGAATTAGGACAGATTCTATGATGACTGCTTTGTGCCTCCGGCTTTTTTTCACACATTGGCAGTTGCATCTCTTTGCTTGTTGAGGATTGAACTTGTTTCTTCATCGTCGAACTTGATCTCAATCTCCAAGATTCTCTCAATATCTCGCTCTTCCAAACTATACACATGTATGACCGTTTTACCACCTTCGCGGAGATTGAGATTCATGGGAGACACTCTCCCGAGAGGCCAAACACTCTCCAGGGGGCACGAGTCTCTCCAGCCATCCATGGCATTTGCTTGCGAGGCAACGGTGCTGCACCGGCCTGTCACAACGATGTCAGAGCGATGCCGCCTGTCACCGAAGGCGCCATCGGAAAAAAGTGGGAAACTGATATGTTGGACATTGTTGGACAATGATAAAACAAGAAGCTAGTAGTAACAAGTGCCACGCTGACAAAGTAAAACCAGTTTAATTAGTGCTTGACATCCGTTTTCGTGAACTAATTAAACTGGTTCCTGGTTCCATTTGCAGCTTATTGGCACGGGTGCCAGATGCGACTGGAGGTCAGCTGCAGAAGGTTGCCAGGAATCTATTTGCAGGGTGGCTGAGGGATTTGTGTACAGAATCCTTGCAACCCGGTGGATCTTGAAATGATCTACCGGGCACAGTGGCTGCCCCCAAAACCGCCTGTCAGGATGTCATTGGCATGTCATTTGGAATGCACGTACAAGAGGTCAATGCCTTGATTGGTCGTGTCTCGACTGGCATGGAACACAACGCAGCCTTCGATCGAAAACCCTTTGGCCAAAACAGTCGAACTGTGAGCCTCTGGGCTAGTCGAAGGAGACAGGTGATATAGATAGCGATTCTGACTCGAGCCTTGTGCGTAAGTTCGATGACTCTTATGTTTACACCTGGCATGACACTGATCCAACCTGAGCTGTGTTCATGTCGCAGAGTCTAGCTGGCAACACTGAGAGTGGTCCTCTTTTTTGTCATGGCTTGATGCAGCCAAAACACGAATCCCCGGAAATCAGGATGGAGCGTGTTGTCCTTTGTGCATCCCACATAGCCCCTGGCAAGCACCTTTCGGAGCTAAGAAGCCATGTGTAGATGTGAAGCTTCTTTCAGTGTTCGCTCAACTGAAAGACTGTCGTTGGACAAAGGTTGGACTAGGACCTACTAGTCTGGGAACATTGATTTGAAAGCTAACCAGGAGAGCGCGGCCCATACTTCAGGCCAGTGAGCACTGGGAGGTTGCTGAATTCAAATGATTTGAGATGGGCCTGCCGTCTTCTGCGACAAGGCCAAGGGTTCCGCATAGTGATTTCTGGCGATGACCGGGGTGATGTCGAGGATGTGTGGTGAGTCGTTTTGTGTGGTGATCTGAATTGATCTGAGAGAGAGATGTGATGAATTGGCGGTGACTTCGAGGTAAGCTGTGCTTTGAGGTGTCCATTTATGGTGATTACTATAGGCAAAGCACCGCCCATTTGGGGCGGGGTGATTTGCAATAGTCACAGTCTTAGGCATTTCGCACGCTTGTCCCCTCATTCTCATGCATGTCATGCTTGCAACTCGGGCACAACTGCACAAAGGACAGGCTGTGGTAGCCTCAGTAGATAGATACAAGAACCATTGCGCCGCATTGTCTCAGCACTCATTAGGTGATATATGGTGAAAATCAATGATACTCAGCAATATCGATCTATGCCAAGGGCTGGCATAAATGCAACTTAACAGATCTTATTCTCTTATAGACTTCTGTATAGTGAATTGAGAGTAGATGGCACAGACCCGAAGAGGTGGTTTATATAAACCCCCATCTAAAGGACAACATGGCGTTTGAGCCATCTACTCTGAAACATAAACAATTTGTTAATTTGCATTGGCTTATCCACTGGTCTCTCACCATCGTGTTCTACTTGGGCGGAGAACCCAAGGTTTTTTGCATCAATGCCGGCAGCTGATGGTTCTTCAAGTTATTCCAAGCGACCATCGAGGACGAAGCGGCCGTCATGTGACCAACTGGTTCCCAGACGACTTCAGTCCGCGAAAAGGAGCGAGATCGACGACATCGACGTCATGGGACCCTGGAAAATGCTGGGCATGATAAGAGGAGAAGTAATTTGAGGATCTATTTGAATAGGCAAATACAGTGATTTCAGTTAAGTTTACGGTCACTTCACAAAGTTGAGAACGCATCGAAACCAAATCATTGGGCTAGGCCCTTCAATTGTTCTTCACACTCCCCACTCCCTCATGTGTGGGAGCGTCAACTCAATGCATCTTGAGGGATTTCCACTTCGAGTGGTTCCCACTAATCCGTTGTAGCGCCCGCTGTCGGTCGATGTTTCCACCACCTAACCGGGTGCCATGTTCACTACCCTTCCGCAGACGATCCCACGGACCCTGAAGAATTGGCCCACGATGGAAGGACACAATGGACTCCGTGGTGTTGAAGGGTGCCATTTTTCGGGGATCGGTGGTGGTTCGTCCCACACACGCTCACCGGTCGAGGCGCAGCAGAAGGACCCGGGCCCTTCGGTGGGTGGCTTCTGCCCAATGGGGGGCGCCACCGTCGACGCACCGCTGAAGAGAGGGACGAGCTCCTGGCGTTTTGAAGAGGAAGACTACTAGCCTTCGACCTACTAGCGATATGGGCTGCACCTAATAGCGATGGCCTCCACCTAATAGCGATGATAGCGATGGCCTCCAGCTAAAACCCGAGATGATTCCTTTAGCTATTGGCATCCGCTAGCATCCCCTCGCCCCAGAAAGAGTGGGAGGGTTTCGAGTCAATTCGGGGAGGATAGCACCTGTCAAGGGATTGATCTTGTGCTGGAAGAGTAAAGTTGCATGTCAGCAAGGAACGAGAGACGGATGCTCCTGGTCACCGAGCTTGGGCAAAGAACGCTGTTTTGTGTGTGTTTTTGGTGCCCGAACGGTTCAATATCTGCTTCACTCCGTGACTGACTCCGGGACTGTGAGGTATTTTTGTTGCGTCGAAGTGTTGTTTCGGTCCCGGCCCACCCAACTTGAGTTGCCGGTCCGGGAGACAGGGAGTCACAAAAAGACCGTTCAGTACGTAATGAGAGGTTCCTCAGATCCACCAGATTCCGTGTCCGGCCGTGAAAAAGGCCTTTTTGGGAAAAACGAGGCCACGAACGGTTTGAGGAAGCTTCCCCAAAGATCCAAAGGTTCTTCAAGAAGGAAACCGCATCTTGAGCCCATCGATGTCCAAGAGGATGTTTGAAGATCTGGTGGGAGCGCTGGGAGCTCTCAGCGCTAGCTCTCCAGCTCTCCTGCATGGATTGTCCAACATGGTGGGGGTGTAAGGTTGGTGATAAATCACCTACATGACAGGTTGATAAATCTAATTGAAAAAGATACAATTCTTCTTGTTTCCGGGCTTTCCAACCCTCTTGTGACACTTGTGTTTGGGATGGCAAAAGAGTAGTGAGATGGAACAACTTGGCGGTTTCGGTCGAGCAACACTCAAACGAACCCAATTGAAGATGTGTCGATGATGTTTGGCAGGAGAGCATCTCTATCCGACATCAGTGTCATGTCATGGAAGATGAGCACTTTGGCTGGGAAGATGGACAGAGGGCCCCATGGGTGGAGAGTGGCCCTGCTTGGTGAGCGCCTCGCCGCTCAAGCGGTCCTCCCATCCCACGATGGAAGGAATGATTCAGCAACGGAAGACCGATATCAAAAGGTGGATATCTCATGATCTACAGGGTGACATGTTCACAGGTGCATGTTCACAGGTGCAGGAGTTCTTCCGGTCCATGAAGTCCATCCCATGTCCATCCAAGCCCTCGATCGAGGGCCAATCTGTAAGTGCTGTGCTACAGTCCCACCTTGTCCATGCGCCCGTTGCAGTTTCTTCCTCCTGAAACTGTTTGACAGGCTGGTTTAGGCTCCCCACGCCCGGCTCTTGTGACTCAGAAATTCTATGAAATTCTTCACGAGCAGCAGAATCAACTGCAGCAGCCCATGGCAAGACCCTGAATCATCCTGAATCCAAGATCACGGAATAATCACATTCAAAAAGAAGCAAACATCTCATCATATCTGAATTAAAGTGTTTATACAATCCATGTGTTAGATTCCAAATAAACATGCTTTCAAGGCTGAAATGCTTCAAGAGCCAAGAGTGCCACCGCGTTTGAAATGCTCCTTTTCATCGCGTCGATTCGCCAATTCGCCATGTGGCCCTTGGCATCGATCCTGCTCTTCCCGGTGCTGAGCGATGCAAAGCTGCGCACAACAACGCCTCCGCCGGAAGCGGGCGTCGTCACGCCGTTGCAAGATGGGATTCCTGGTTTGGCAAGCAGGGTTTTCCAAATCATGCTAAATCCTCAAACCTTGAAAAATAAAAACAATATATACGTATGATCCAATATCCACGAACGCCGCAACTCGTCTTCTCAAGCTTCATGGAACACTGGGTGGGGGGTCTCGTCACCCTTTTGCAGGCTTCCACATACCTCGCTTGCCCAGCTCACTGTCATCCGAGCGTTCTCGCCCCTTTCGTCTTTGGATTTGCTACAGGTATCCTGTTTTGCATATCCCTGGTTTCCATCTGTGGTTGTCTCTTTCTTTGGCATTTACCTGCTTTCCGGCCTTGGATTTCTCAGTCTCCGGCCGTGCGCCGGGGTGCGCCGGGCTTCGAATAGGCTGAGGGGGTACTTGCATGAGCACTAAGGCTTCGTTAGCTCCGCTTCGTGCTGAGTTGCTCAGAGTTTCTGAGGATCTTGCATCCATAGGAGAGAGAGTCAAGCAGTTGGCCCAGCGATTGAACGAGCTGGAAGGTTCAGCGAGCGAGGATTTAGAGTGGGAGGTGATCGAGGAAGGGAACCTGCCCCTTGGGGTGTCAGACCTGGAATTCCCCTACCCAGGTGCAAGTCAGGTCCCGCAGGCACAGCCGATACCCTCCGTGCCTAGGTACCTGTCGGATTTGTGTCAGGAGAGCTTGAAGTCAGTTGCATCCATTTCCCCCCTGGAACGAGCTCAGAGGGCTTTCACTCAGGGACATCTGGCCTGGGTGGCCAGAGTGACCGGGCTGCACTATAGACCAGCAGACGCGGTGCCTGCGCTCCCGAGCGCTCATTTCGTAGTCGTAGTCATCCGGGGTCTGGGACTTAGTCAAGCTCTTAGGACAACCACCAAGCGTGAAGCCCCGTGCCTTGGCAGTTCAGGACGACACAGCTATCATTGCACGCATCTGCGTGCCTCCACTGAAGCGATGCGGGACCCAAATCTTCTAGTGTTCTCAATCCCTTCGGAGGTTTCAAAGACCGGAGGAAATTTGCAGGTTTTCGCTATACCTGTCCTGCAGAGGGACGGGGGATTTTTGGTTGCACTACCAGTGGAGTCATTTTCGAATGAAGCTCTGGAGACAGCAGCACATGCAGACGAGCACGAACTTTTGGGGCCTTCTCACACATGTGTCGCTCAGCTCAGCGAGGAAGACGAGAATGGCCAAGAGGTCATGATAGACCAGGAGATCCTGGTCCTCTTGGTGGATGTGTCGAACCAGGCACTGCAGGCTCTTAGGGAGTATGATCCAGTGACGGACTCACTGGAGACGATTCATCCTTTTGATGATCAGTTTCCCCTAGCACTGCCTACAGCTGCCTCTCTGGTTGCCGCTGCCAAAGCCTGGATGGGAGAAGAAGATCAGGGCAGGCTAAATTTTTACTCGGCTCGAGAAGAGCCGGCAGAAACTCCTGTACGCTCAAAAGCGGCTGCGAAGAAGGCCACCCCCAAGAAGATCACAAATGCAGTCCTGGCGGAGCAGGTAGCGTCCCTCTCCTCACAGGTGGAGGCCCTGATGGCATTGCAGGAGAATTCAAAGCATGTTAGACCTGGAGAACACGTCTTCAGCAAGTACAACCATGAGGCAAAATTCAATGCATTGCAACAAGACATGACGCTTACAAAGTGGTGCGAATGCTTGACCTCGGCAGTCTTGAGGACGAGGACTCCTTTTGCTGCCCACTTGGCTCAGACTTTCCACCTGCATCGTACTGACCTCAGTACGGCACTGGCCTTTTTCCCGGTCCTGCTCCCTACTGGTGAGCATTGGGCACGGATGCCCTCAGACCTCTCTCAGAAGAGGCGTAGACAGGTCCACTTGAATCGTGCAGTCCACATCATTGTTTTGGCTTTGAACTACTACCACAATGGTGGCCCATGCAAGCTGGATTTGTTGGGGAGAGCTCCTTCTACTTCGCACCGGAGAAGGAGCTTGATAAGGTCAGAGGGCCAAGTTGCGATTCCATGTATTGCAAACTCTGGCCGTAGGTTACCTCAATTAGTTGCAAGGTTGTCAGAGCTTTCAGTGGCATTGACGGCTATGGGGCCCTCCTGTAACCCCTATGACCGAAGCTTCGATGGCTTTGAAGTGCTTCCGGATACGGAGGCTGATGAGTTGAAACCGTACAGGAACCTGGACTCATCCAGACTGGTTTTAACAGGCAGAGGGGCATGGGATGCCACAGAGTATCTCGAGGACGAACTAGTACTGGCCTACAGAGAGCCGGCCTCTCTTTTGTTCAGCCATGAACCATGTCCGTCACAGGTCCCAGCAATTTCTGACCATCCTTCGGAAGTGGCAGCGCTGGCGAGACTTTGGGACAATCAAGATCCGAAGATCATCCGCTTGCCCAGGACCACCGCAAAGGAGTTAGTTCTGGCCTCGGTACTAGTCCCACTCATGTGCGCCGAACTTAGTGCAGAGTTCAGCACTCAGGTTTTCTGTAGTGATGCCTCAAGTAATGTGGGGGCTTTTTGTGCAGCCACTGTGCCGCGTGCAGTCTCGAGAGTGCTTTGGAAAGTCTGTAAGTCAAAGGGTGCATACACACGCATGATGTCCCCGGTTGAAGCGGAGATCTTTAAGCTCGGAGGCTCGGAAGAGTTCGAAGGGAAGGAAGAGGTAAAGCCGACCTCGATCAGAAGGCCCCTGGCCTATCGGTTTGACTTTATAGAACTTTTCGCAGTGGCCGCAAAGGTCACCCATTCCATGGAAGCAAAGGGCTGGTCAGTAGGGCCCCCGACTTGAGTCGCAGCCCCGAATATGATATGACTTGCCATTATTTGATGTCATGGTTAAGCCATTTGATCCAAAGTCATGCCATAAAAAGTTTTGCCTGCGAACCACCGTGTACTACTTTTTGCATCATGCGACGGCCGCAATTGAGGTCAAAAGAGAGACCATATGGCTTCGATCCTAGCCATCCACAAACCCACACAGGCACCGCGCTTGCCCTTCGTGGTTTGCAGTGCCTTGAGTTGGGATGGAGACACGGGGTCCCAGGGTGGCTTGAAACTACGTGTCATCTAAGATGAAGTTTCTCCCACCTGATAAGACTCTTAGGGCCAAAAGGTGCGTGGACTTTTGTCGAACCGATTCGTGCCGTTTTGGATCCCCTCACTTAAAACCTTTTGCTTTCCTCAGCGTTTGGGCTCCCCTCGACCGTATCCGTCAGAGATGCGTCTGCACAGGCAGGCATGTGGAAAACTCACGAAGGCTAGTGCCATGTATACTGATGGGCTGGCAGACGCCCTAGCCACTGTCCTTTCAGAGGCCATCAATGCCAGGGCCAGCGCAGACATCGAGTGGGATCAAGTCCAGACGGCAGGGCTTGAGAATGCTTTAGTGAACCAGGTTGCTCTTGAAGCTCCCTGGTCTACCCTGAGGTCCTGGCCTTTTCGTCGCCCGGTCCACATTAATATCCAAGAAGCTGTCTCAGTCCTTAAAGTAGTTGAGCATTTGGTTTTGAAGTGGGGACCTCAGAGGGCAACCATTTTGGTCGACTCCAATGTTGTGAGGTGCGCAGTCTCTAAGGGACGCACTTCCTCGAAAGGTCTGATGCCTGTCATTGCTAAGGTAAATGCCTTGTGCCTAGCAGCGGGCGTGCAGATCTGTTTACCATTTTGTCCCACTAGACTAAACCCATCAGACGACCCAACCAGAGGAGCCGCCCTGAGAAGCCCCATTCAAGGCTGTGACTTGTTTAGTTTTTCGGAGGGCGAACTTGCGCAGCTCTCAACCTGCGCCGGCCTTAGACGTTGGAGCGCAAATTGGGTCCGCCTGACGCTCAGCTTGCTAGGGCCCGGCCTTGTTTTCTTAAAGGATCGAAGCCGCTTTCGATCGCCCTGTGCCTTGGATTTCAGACCGTCGCTTCAAACACACTTCGAGAAAGGTTTTGATCAGACCCTTGAATACCCAGAAGAGGGGCCAGGCACTTTCGATCCTGCTTCTTGGCACACGGTTCTGCATAACTGTCGGCTGGAATTTGATAGAACCTGGGGTTTCCCTGGAGAAGGTCCTTTTCCACTCCTCTTCATCTCTCTGCTCCTACTCCTCTGTTTGTTTCAGGGCAAGCGAGATGCGCCTCTCTTGTGGATTTCAGGAGCCATTTTGGGGGGGGCCGCGATACGCCATGGGAATGCCACTGAAACCACGAAACTCTGGAGATAGAGCGAGAGCTGAGCACAGAGCCCAGAAGTTACCTTTAGCTTCAGGACGACCTGTACTGCAGATCACCGCCAAGCACCGAGAGGAACTTCTGGAGGCCTTCAGAGCCTGGCTGCTGACAAGGGGGTTGGAACCTGGTGACCTTTTTCACAATACCTATCAGACAGTAGAAGAAATCAACATCTTGTTGACAGCGTACGGCCGTGAGCTGTATCGGGCCGGCAGGCCACTCAACCATTTCTCGGAGACCATAAATGCAATAGCATCCTGGAAGCCACAGCTGAGAAGGGCCCTTCAAGGGGCCTGGGACCTGGCCTATAGCTGGGTCAAATCCGAACCATCTACACACCATACAGCTATGTCTCCCCAGGTTCTGATGAGCTGCATCTCAGTCTGCTTGATCTGGGGTTGGGTGCGTCTGGCAGGCTGCCTAGCCCTAACATGGGGAGGTTTACTACGGGCAGGTGAACTCCTACAGGCCCGACGCCAAGACCTACGGCTGCCGTCGGATCTGTCAGGAAGTGTGCCCTTTGCACTCCTTTCCATAAAGGAGCCGAAAACAAGGCACACAACCGCGAGGCACCAGTGTGCCAAGCTCGACATTCCAGACTTTGTGCAGTTGGCAGAGCTCGCCTTCCAGAAGTTAGCGCCCTCCGAACCTCTTTGGGACATGAGCGCTCAAACGCTCAGGTCTAGATTCAAGAGCCTACTACAAGCCCAACGACTTCCAACAAGCACTTACAGAGGGATGAGAGCACTTGACTTGGGATCGCTCCGCCCAGGCGGAGCAACGCACATATTACAACTGACTGAAAGTGGAGACTTGGTGATGCGCCGCGGGCGCTGGGCAAGCTACAGAGTAATGAGCATTTACATTCAAGAAGTCACCTCTACCTCCTTCCTGTCAGTGTTGGACAAGGACGTGAGAGACAACATCCTTGACCGGGCACAGTGCTTCTCTTGCTTTTTGGAACAGGCTAAGGCCTTTGAATCAGCTAGGATCCCAAGAGATGTATGGCTCTTTTTGTTTGGCGCCACCCAGAAGAAAGACGCTTGAACGAGCTGGGGTTGAATGAGAAGAACGGGTGGCTTTGCATTCCAGATGAGCTAAGTTTGCTCTCTGTGTGTGTACAACCGCATGAGCGGGTGGAAAATGGATCACCGAGTGGAGGTTGAGTTGATATATAATATATGTCATGTTCACTTGGAAAATCGCATACCCGGCACCAATACTAGGGGTGTCGAGGCGCAGTTGGATGCGCCAGAATCGAACAAACCTGGGCAATATGATGGAATATGTATTGCACCTTTTTCCCGGTTCCGAACGCATGCCACTTCAAGGATTGGAAAAGTGAATGACACCGAAGGTTGGAAGGGATGGGTCGGGCATGGGTTCGGAGCATTTCAACCAGGGCTTCGCGGGGGAGGGTAGAAGATCAACAGCCTCCCCAGGAGTGACATTGGGAAAGACGTTCTTTTCGTGCGCAAGTCCAAGAAACCCTTCAGACCAGGTCAGTTGGAAGTCAGCTTCGCGGGTCGGGGGGTTCGAAGTGGGGGAAAAAACCACAGAAAAAAAAAGAAGAAAACACACACACATTGCTTCCTCCGTTTTCCCTATATATATATATATCGGGAGTTGGAAGATCGAACTCTCGTGCCTCTTCGTCTCAGCCTGTCCCAACTGGAGATGGAGAAAATCGGAAACCCCGTCTGCAGTGTCATTTCAGAGCATCAGTGGCTATCAGCGATTCAGCGGTTCGTTTGGTTGCTTTCAACATTCGTTCACAGCCGTCGACGTTTTTCTCCTTGTCCTCTCCAGGCGCCAGTTGCTCCCAACGCCTGTTCGAGCTCTTGGGCAACCCCTCCTACGACGCCTATACGGAGTGGGTCCTGATGGTTGGTCCTGGAATCGAGTGGCAGGGCTCAAACGGCGGGCGCTGACGACGCCAAACTGCCAAACCAAGGGCGATGTGTGATTTGCAGAGATTGCAAAGGTGGGTTGGTTTAGGGTTTAGGAGGCTCTCTCAGCTAATTGGGGGTTGTAGGTGTCCCCGAATTGGAGGAGTGATTGCATTTTGGCAAGCAAAAGTGAGGGATAGGCGGCTTCTCCTAGGTGAGAGTGAGCTGGACCACACATTGACCTACCCTGCATAGCATCTAACTGGATAGCCTCACTGGTTTCACTTGATCCATGGATCGGATCTGATGTATCTCATGGTTACCCTGGTTGCCTGGAGGCCAGGGTAGTACAGCTCAGGCTAGCTAAGCAGAAGCTTCTGGCTGAATGGTCTCCCCCTCTGGGCCAGGATTGTGTGGAGGAAGGGCTGAATCACAGCATCCTTCCACACAGCAGTGCTGCGATCAATGCCCAATGCTGGTGTAAGTGGAACATGTGCCTCGGGCTAATTCCATCCCGCGGCAGGGCGGTGACACGCATGAAGCGCATCCATTTGTGAACTACTGGTGGACAGACATGGGGACTCTCATCGAACTTCAATGATGTTAAATTGTTTCACTGTCCTTTGGCAGGACACTTGACTTTGATAACTCCTGATACATCATATTGTTTGCTTATAGTTGTAGACAAGTTCTATCACGTAAAAGATCCCGGTCTTTTTGGTCCTTCGGCGCCGGGTGTCGATGAAGGAAATACACCCGCATTGCACAAACAAATTGTATGCTTCAAGTGCGCAAGGAAGGAGCATGACACATCGCAAGAACAGTGATCTTGTGATCTTGCTGCACGTCGCCCTGTTGGAGGCTGTTCCTCGATGGTTTATGGATGTGAAAACGGCATCCCTGTTGGCCTGGTCACAGGGTTTGTTTCAGCATTCAAGAGCTTTGTAACCTCGAATCGAGTGGTCCGGCCCTATCCGATGCGAAATCAAAGCGATGGCCTCCAACCTAAGAGCGATGGCCTCCTTGGTCCTGCTTCAAGTGGAAAAGGTCTACAGTATAAGGAAGGCCGCAGGGAAAGGTAGGCCTTCACAAGGGCCCCGGGACTTGAAATCAACGTTGCCTTCTTTTGGGCATACGTAGGTCCGGTTATCAGAGACTCTTCTCAGAGAAGGTGACCACTCGTTTTTCATGGAACTAAACTAGTGGGAATTGGCAACATGAACCACTTTCCAGATTTTTTCTCAAACAGGTGTGGGGCTATTACCCTGCAAAATGGCTTCCCATTCCCCTCCCCAACATATTCCTCCCACCATTACGTTCTCTCCTTACCGATATGTTGTGTCCCATTCCCCGCCACGGACGGCTCCGCGGCGAGACACGGACGGATGCTCCGCCAGGAGCGGCTTCGTGCGCCAGGGCCTTAAAGCCATCTCTAGGGTCGATGTGGCGCGGTTGGTGCCGCAAAAGCCCTAGAGGTTGACGTGTGAATACGTGTGAATACGTGTGGATGTGGGCCATGTGAGGACTTTTGGGGAAGGCAGAACGTCCCCTTTGAGGAGAGGTGGACAAGAGATGTGACATGTAAAGTGGTGATGAGATGATACTCCTAGGTGGTGATTGCAACCTTTTGGGGCGTTACAAATGGCCTCTAGCTACTAGCAGCGATGCACTTGTTACTACTAGTAAGGCACCTTGCTACTAGGGGCTCCAGATCAGGTACAAGACGTTTGCATCCTAGTGCCGGCCTGTAGGTTGCAGCCTGGGGTACGTGCACACGATCAATATTCACAGCAGAATCGGGGAGCATCACAAACATGTTCAGCAGATCGGGTCGAGGTTCGCAGGGCTGCAGTGAGCACGCCAATTGGAAGTGGCTCATGCAAGTGGACTGCCATAGTGAGCCTTGGCTCGACCGTCCTGGTGTAGGATGGTATAGGGGCTTTCTCAAGTTTCTGCAGGATTGCACTTGTTACTAGTAGATTCTTGCTAATTACTATATACTAGTAATGCCCTTGTTAGTAGTAGATAATGCACTTGTTCCTAGTAGCGATGCACTTGTTACTACTACAGTAGATATGTGTTGTTCTAGATACCTAGAAAGGTGAGGTGTCGTCATGCATGTGAGAGGATTGAGAGGATTAAAACGAGGTGGACGCGGCAAAGAAATGATCTTCACATTCTTGGTGGACGATGTCGTGTTGCGGTGCTGGGCGCCCTGCTTTGAAGCACACCCATACCGACCAAACCATTCATTCACATTTGGGTGTGTTGGGGAGGTTTTGGTTGCGTGATGTTGCATGGCTGATGAGTATTTGGGAGAGTGTTGGGCTCCCTCCCCGTTAGATAGCTTGTTAATGCTATTTTATCTTGAATCATCTTTAACCAACCTGGGGCCCACCAAAACCAATCAAGTTCCAGGTGTTTTGCTCAGTTTCAGGTAGCCCAGGACTTGGGGTGAACGTTGGGGTTTTCTCCTTTGACCACAGGAGCGGAGGCTGGGCGTTTGTCTGAGAGCTTGGCAGGTCTTGGCACTCAGGGGAGCCAAACTGACCAGGTGAGCGAAACTTAGGATGCGAGTCTTTCGAACTCTCCAAGCATCCCGATGCGAGCGCCGCTGGTGGCAGAAAGACATGGTTCACCCACATGTTTCACCCTGCCAGTCGGACATGCTAGAATTTAAAGATATTTAAAGTATGATGGGTTGATTCAATATTGGATTATGTTTCGTGATCGAGGCCATTTTTCTGTGAAGATACAGCCCATGGTTTCTTTTGCCGAATTCAAGATTCTGTGAGGATTGCAGTGACGCTGGCGCTGCTGATTGCCGAAGCTGCCCTGCCTTTTGCTTTGAGCTGCTTGGCCACGTCCATCTCGCGTCCGCCTCGGCCTCGGCCGCCTGTCCAGCCAGAGAGCTGGCCGGAGCTCGGCAGCGTCTCGGGGTGTGGGCCGTGCGGAGTGGAACAACGCCGTTGGAGAGCTACGGCCTCCACGGTCGATGCCTGAAGAGCCATATGCTGCCATGGTTCTGATTGCCGATAGTAAGAGGGAGCACGGCATGATCTCAGATGGGCAAGGCTCAAGACCTGTTGGGGTCTACTTGGGTGGGTCGTGGACGAGCCCCACGAGCCCCACCAGCCCCCCGCCTGTCCGACGGACCCTGAGCCAACCGAGGGGTGCCACTGGACTTCCGGGCTGTGAGTGTCATGACCAATGCCTACGCTACTTGGGTTGTTGGCCATCCAATCACACGCAGGCCAGTCCGAGACGCCCCAGTCCGGAAAGCAGTTTGGGGGAAAAACGGAAAGTTCGGGAAGGCCGAAGGCTGGGATGAGGTGGCCAGGAAACTGGAAGGTCCCCTGGGTAGATGTAGATTTGCATTGAACAGTGGTTCTTTCATGTTCTTTCCAATCTGTTCGGACGGGAACCAATCTGGCCAAGAGAAGGTGTGGGGGAAGGTGCGGTAAAAATGATTCCTTTGGATACATCACCGACCACCTTCCTCAGAAGGTATCAACTTATCATAGTAACCGAGTCTGTGGATGTCTTAAAACGCTCAACTTTGTGGGTGAGACGCTGGCAACGAAGGCTTGGAGTTCGTAGGCCTTGGACACCTCCTCCATTACGTGTTTCATTTTATACATGGGGCGCTGCAAGGTGAAACGGACACCTCTCCGAATTTTCGCTGCAAACAAAGACCTCCCATATTGTACGGGGTCTCACCTTTGAATTGCTTCCCCTTCAGCTCCAGCACACCACTTTGCAGCGCTGCACAGCGGAGGAGCCAGGCGAATCACAGAACAGTTCGGACCAGGTGGGGTCGAAGCCATGGGTGGAGCAGCCCCGGGCTTCTGCGGGCAAAGAGGAGAACAGCATTTGGAGATGTAGATAGATTCTTTTGGGCTTTCGAAAAGAAATGCCTGTCAAGCTGTTCACGGATGTTGACCCTTGACGAGTTGGGAAGCTCGATGAAGCTGGTGCTGTTTTCAGGCATGCAGATTAAACAATAAGAAAGAACAGCGGAACAGGACCAAAGAACAAGGTTGAAGTCCAAAAATGGGTGCCTCTCATTCGGTCTTATATGGTCTAAATAAGACAATATATTGTTATTGCTGTTTCATCCAGACACCAGACCGCTACAAACCCGCTTTTCGAGTGAACTGCGACCTTCACTTTTCGAGTGAACGTGTACCTTGATTCCATTGCGCCCACCGTTCCTTGAGTCCATTGAGAACCACGCAAAAAGCAAAAAACGATCACGCATTTGGTCAGTCGGACTGGAAAACACCGACTGCATGATAGACTACCAATGAAAAAAGGCGGCCTTTTCTGTAAAACCAGTGACAAATTAGAAATGTACAGGTAAGGAGACCAAAGTTGGTTGGATCTGTAAAGAGTTTCATGTTTGATCCCCAGATCGAGGGGATGCCAACATCTCACCATGGTCACTCACCTTGCTTTGTTGGGGTCCTTTCAAGGCTTTGGGCAATCGGCGGGCCGGTTTGCCACCAATGATTTTTTGATATTTTTTGCGTCAAACGTCGGAATCCAAACGTCATGCCGTGACGTAGTCGGGAGGGTTACAGTAGCCAAACAAAACGAGGTTTTGACGGGTATGAACTGAGCGAGCGAGTGTCAAAAGAAAGAGAATAGAGAGAGAGAGAGAGACAAAAAAGAAAAACAAACAAACAGAGTTAGAGATAGAGAGAGAGATCTCAGTCAGCGGGGACCCCTGAACTGAACCCATCTCCACCGTGCTGCCCACGCGCTCGTTCTCGGAAGCCACTGAATGGCGCGTGCAGGTGTGCGATGCCAGTTTTATCCGCAGAAGCCAAAAGATCCTCGACTGTGCAGACGTGCTTTTGTTTCTAGTATTCCATTGCATCTAGCTCGGTGGTTCCAAGTAGCTGTGGAAAGCATGAGGGTTTTGGGTCGGGATCTCGTCGCGTCGCTTGTGGAGCGGACCGTCCCGAAGTGGAAGGACCGAACCGGACACCCCGTATGGAAGGAAGACATTAACACGACTCAACATACGAAGCCACATGAGAGAGGTATACGTCCACACCGTTTTTTCGGCCCCACAAGCTCCAAAAGGACCTAACACCTGAAAGCGAACTCAACTACTCAAAGATGTTCACTAGCGATATTCTTCCGCAAGTTAGTTTCGGGAGGTGTCTTGCTTTGTGTGACTGTTCACCAGTTTTGTTTAGGTATGAAGTCTGATAATCACACATGAAGATTCCAACAAAGAAGGCTCCAAATGTTTAAATATGTTCCCCCAAAAAATACACCAACAAACAGGAAATCCGGCTCACTCCCCCCCCCTGTTGAATCATTTGGGGAAGGTGTTGAACACTTTCATAATCTGGGCATCTCACTAGTCTGGACAAAGCACCGGGTGAAAGAACTGCATCCTCATGACTGCCAGACTCCTAAGGCCAGTTCATCGGCCCTGACCACTAAAGAACGGTTTGGTTTTCGACGGAGTGACGGAGTGACTCAGCCAGGGGGAACAGCTGAAGCCCAAAACATGAACAGCTGACGCCCAAACTTCAGGTGTTCCAAGCATGTTCCATCACTCCAAGCATCTACCCAACCAAACCGGGCGCCCAACTGCCCATACACCCAACCCAATGCACAACTTCTTTGCAATTTCCCGGCTGTACATCCCCCAGGATGCAGGACTTCGGCAGCTGTGCCGCATCCAACTTCACGTCTCCTGGTGGAACACCCACGGGGCCGGGGGGGTGGTGCTTTTGCTTCGTGAACAGGTGGGGTTAGGGTTTGCAATGGTTTGGAGGCTGGTTCATGTGCAAAGGTCCACTTCTGGATTGCCAAGATCACGCTGAGCGAGTCGCAGCCTGAATTCTTACCACTCAGATGACTACTGCTTCGAAATGAAATTCACCGCACTAGAAGACCTTTTGGGGGCATTGGTTTCCCGACTAAAGTTCAATAGGAAGATAAAGGTATCAACCTATATTGCATTAGCAACAAGAAGCTAGTACTGTATGGGCCCCTGGCATCGCTACTAGGAGCAAGAACGCTACTAGGGGCTCTTGGCCTTACTACTAGGAACAAGGAAGCTACTAGGAACTTCTTGTAATATTTGCATATTACAACCTTCATTTTTCAGGGAAACTGAAGGGGTCAGGACCTGGTTGAGTTTGGTCCAAGGTACACTATGCCCTCCCTCCAACCACAATTGTGTGGATTAGTAGGAAGATGAGCCCTTCCTTCAGAGTTCGGTGAGAGTCCTTCAAAAGTAACCGGTATGAAACCGGTATGAAACCGTTCGCATGTAAGTGTTGAACCGTTTCATGGGTCAAAAGCAATAAGTAATAGCAGTGACAATAGCTCCAACAGGTCCCTGGTTCACGACCTACAAGTGATCCATGGCCAGGGCCAGATGGTCATCCGCGCAGATGGTCATCGGCGAGTCATCCTCTCTACTAAAACCAAAGACCTTGGTCGCATCCCTTGTTCAGTCCATTACTTTGTTCATGCTTTGGGTACATGAGTAGTACACGGGTAGATGGCATGAACAAGCATTTGGGGCAAGAATTGGGAAAGATGTATTTCTGTGCTTGACTCAGCTTAAAGCTTCAAAACGGAATGATGACGTTGGAAAGGACGACTTATCGAAAGCAAGGGGCTTAAGCCGCCATTTGGACGAGAGGATTCTACACGCCCACCACCAAAAAGGACATCCATTTCTTGCTGGAGTTTGTCGGTTCCTGGCGGGGGTTTCCGGGGGATCCTCCCAGGTACAGCAACCGCTGGACTTCACTGTCTGACACCTACCAGTGCCTTTGTCAGACCAACTTGCAGCAGGACTGTTCGGGAACAAAAGGGACGAGAAGGCTGAAGTGAGCGACATCTATAGGTGTCAAAACAGAAGGAGCAGTGCTTGAGTGCTCCTCTCAGACACAAGGAATCTATGCGTTGATAGATGCCAGCCCCAGCTGGATTCTGGAGAGGGGTGAACTAGAGACGAAAGTGTCGTCATCCCAGAATTTTGTACAGAAGAGCAGAACAATGAGAATTTGGGATGCCTTTCTATCGTCCATCCTACACCACCTGATCAGGGTGACACAGGGTGAACAACCAGATTTGCTGGTAATTGCAATTGCTTGATGAAGTTCGGTATTTGCATGATTCGGATGTGCAGGGGGTTTTCTCCAAATCGGTGGTGTCCGCACGAGTTCATTTCAGAGATCTTCTGAAGCTCCAGTGCCAGGAGCTTCAGAAGAGGAACTGTTGCGAGGACTCCCACAGCAACCTGTCAGCGCATGGATTCTGCCAGGCTGAGCCCGGTGGCGTCGTGCACGTGGACCCACCGGTGGCTCACGACCGGTGTCGGGCGAGTGCCGTGTGGCCGATGGGAATGGATGCGCCGGCCGGCTGGCTTCACTCGTGAAGATCATGAATTGGGTCTTAGTCAGTTCTGTGTCATCTGTGTCTTTCTTCGAATTGTTTTTGTTGGATTCCGAATTCAAGATCCGACAAAACGGACCGTCTTCGTATCAGGAGCACGACCTTTGAAGGAAGCACAAGCTGACATACTTGCACGCCCTTGCATCGGTCATGGGGGGGTCCAGCAATCCGATCTCATCGGTGGACACGTGTGGACACTGTTCCTGGAATATGATCTTGCTCGGAAAGCGCCATGGCATGATAACGATGACGAGTTCCCATGAGTTCGATGAAAAGATGTTCTGTCGCCTTGCTTTCAGACAGATGACGAACGCCTGGGCTACAAACCACTGGGCTCCACCGAACGGCGGGGAAAGCGGGTGTCACGCCGCGCCGCTCTTCCAGGCCAATTGCTCCTTGGACTGTCGCAGCCGTGAGGCCATCGAGTGCCTTGGTCGTCTCAGAGCACCGAAGGAAGCCCACCGCGACAGGAATTGGATCGCCGCTGGGTGGTCGCGTTGGGTTGGTGGCCCGAAAGACCTCCATTCTCGGATTTCAAGGGACATAGCATTCGGCATAGAGGGACGTTTATTGTAAGGACGCTACTAGGAGCAAGGACGCTACGAACGGGGCTCCTGGCCTTACTAGGAGCAAGGACGCTACTAGTTTGTGTCTGGTTGAATGTCTTTCCATGTCTCCATGTGTCTTTCCATGTCTCCATGTGTCTCCAATCTCCACTGTTTGGGGAGCTGCCTGAGGTGCCAAACGAACTGCACCCAGTGGTGCCAGTCGGGCAGCTTCACTAAGCCGGACGCGCCGGACCCGTGGGCCGGACGCGCGCGCGCGCGTGGGAAGCCGTGAGTCTGGACTCAGAGTGGTAATGATGTGGTAAGTATTACGAACAGTTCAATGGTATGGCAACATGTTTATCCATTTTGATATGTTTGTTGATGTATTTGTTAATATATGTCGTTGAGATTTTTGGATTTGACATATTTAAACATAGGTATACTATATTTACGTTAAGTATAATATGAATATGAGTATATATATATACATGTGTGTACTACGACAACCAAGTAGGCCCCTGCGCATTTATTATCACATCTTCTCACATCCTGCGCAACTCAAGTTTCTCCAGTCCGGGCACCTACTTTGCCCCAGGTTCCCTCGATCAGACTGCATTGTTCGGTAGATCAACAGCGAATCCATATGGCCAAGAGCCTGCTGTGGTGTCAGGTGCCCAAAAACACCTTTGGACATCCTTGACCTTGCCCAAAGATCACCCGAGAGTTCACTGAATCTGCAGGGAAATCTGCGAATGCGAGTGCCCCGCGTGATGGGTGCAATGCAATAATTCACCCAACCTGCACAGGGAAACATCAAACCGTAAAGTCTATATTCGGCCTTTTAGTGTGGGAGGAAGGAACCGGTTCGCATCTTCTGACTACGATGTTGAAGGAAGGATCCATGGAACCAATGATCAGACAGAAAACTGAACACGGTGGCTCCGAGGCACTAAAACTGCCGTTTCCTTCGCCGAAGACATCAACGGGACCCCCAGACTGGATCATGATGGGGGGCCTGGATGGGACTCGTCTCAAGTGGGCAAAAACTGAAACCGCACCCTTGTTATCTGTGCATCAGGATTCAATCCTCTCCTCCTTTTTAGGTTTCCTCTCGGTGCGATTAGCAGATATGATGTCTCAGGTTCTCGAACACTCTCAACTCCTCCGTCACGTGTCCGACGCGGACCAAAGCACCGTCTCAAAACACCTCTCCTCGGGCCGCAGCGTGCACGCCCACGCCCGGGAGGAGTGCACGGAGAGATGCATGGCTGATGCGGCACCGTGCCATCGCTACAAGGTTTGTCGCTACGGCGGCAGAACCGACGGAGAACCGACGGTGTCGAGGCGACCGAAGTTGAAGGAACCGTAGAACCGACCAGTATAGCTATACCAGATGAGGAATCTACATGCAACGGCGGTGAACCCCGGTGAGTGCGGGTAGGTCGACCTGGATTTGGAAGATGCTTAGTCGGAGAAGTATGCAGAGACCAGATCCATGCAATGCTCGATGTAGATGTTTTCCCACTAATCTGCACTCTTGATAGGATTTCAATTTAGCTTCAACCCCCCATAGGAAGAGGTTTTGCAATCCACATCTGGGGGGTTATGAATATGGTTCCCACAAAAAACTTGTCCGGCTTGATCTTGAAGTGTTAGAAATCAAAAGCCTGAGATTCCTTAAATTAAAACTTGGTCGCAGGTACTCAGCTGAGAGCTCTTCCGAAGTATTGAAGCTGTCAGAGCTTTAGAGGACAAACTGTTCTGGGAGAGCTTCAAGAACAGCGAAAAACCTGACTGAAGTTGTTTGGACGTTTGACTGGAGATGTTTGGAGATTAGTTTGGAAAAATCCAACTGAGGTCGGACCCGTTTTGTTCGGAACTGGTGGAAGGATGCTTTTCGAATTTGTTCGACTGTTCGATGGTTTTTGGAGTGTTTTCTCCAGTCTGGTTTCAAGAAGAACTGAAAGGAATGATGATGTCATATCATGTCATATCTATACTTGTTGTACTAAGGCCCGGCACCGAAGCCCGCCTTCCCCTACGTTTGTGACTTGGATGTGAATACAGACTGGACTGTCTGGGTTCATGATGGTGTTTTTCCCCTTCTACCGCAGAGCCCCTAGTAGCGTCCTTGCTCCGTTCGTAGCGATGCCCTTTGTTACTAGTAGCTTCTTGTTGCTAGTAGCGATGCCAGGAGCCCCTAGTAGCGTCCTTGCTCCTAGTAGCGGTGTTTGTTTGAGAGATTCGTCATCAGAAAACTATATATACGCTCCTGCAGCAGGTGACGATGGTGGAGCGCCGAGCCCCAATGGTTGCTGCAGCGGTGTCTTCGATACAGACCGCTGCCCCCTCTTGCATCTTGGACAAAGGGTACTAGAACCGGAAAAGAGGCAGACCTTTGATCATGGATTTGAGTATAGCAGCATGAAAAACCAGGCATTTCTCATCGCCGTCTCTTTTCGGATCTACACTTCCGGAACACAGACAGACCGTTTTCCGTAGGTCACATGGTCTTACCCGGTCAGAGGGCGCTTTCTGTGGCCTGGCTGGACCGTTTCTCCTCGGGTCACCCAGGAAAGACCATTCTCTTTATAGTCGACTCCCAGGGTGGTTGAGCGCGAGGACGAAGACCTCCATCTCGAAGACTCGGCCCGCTGGTGTTTTCACGTCGTGTATTTGTAGTGTCCGTATACTTTTGACTGACGCCATGGACTGAGGCCCTTTTGGACAGGACTTTTGATGCACTGGCGGTAGTTTCCGCGCTTTTCAGGTGCAAGGTGCAGTTCCGGACGACGGTGCTGTCGCAGACGGGACTGAGCGCCAAGTGCACCTGTGCTGGGTGTCCAGCGACAGAGCCGGATGCCAAACGCTTGATGAACAAGACCCTGATGGCCACTCGGTCCAAAGGAGAAGTTCTTCGAAATCAAAACATATCAACGCCTTATAAGAAGAACGCCAAAACCCGAGAGCTTCGAAAAACGTTCCACCTAAGTTCCTGCAGCTCCTGCACTTGATCTGTTCATCGCTCCAAGCTCTAAAAGGACTGTATATGAGTTCTCCATAGTTCTGCTATGATCGCTTGTACACGAAGGGCTCCTTTAGATGAAGCTTTGCTTCACTGTGACCATCTCAGATCCACCCGCGAATAGGTTTTCAAATGGTTTCAGCTTTCTCCATATATAAACAGAATTAAACAGACACATATTCTACTTGGAACGGCCTTTTTGAGGATTTGACATGTGAAAGTGCGAAAGTGCCACATGTCTTGCATTGCTGGCCAGTTGAGGGGGGAGCAGATTTGCACGATATTATGAGCACGAGAACTCATCAGGGGCTTCCCAGCATTGTTTGGCTTGCTTGCAGCCATGGGTAGGCACCATATGTTCACCTCTCAGAACTCTTGACCCAAATCACGTTAATGTCAAAGTCTGTTCTTTTGCCCAGACATCACCCAACTGCCACCCGGTGTTTATATCGTTAGGTAGGCCACCCCCACCTCAAAAAAGGTGCGCTGGGCCAAGACCATGCAAGAAAAGGGCACATGATGCATGCAAAAGAACAACGAACATAACAAAGACGTGTTCTTCACTTTCGTCTCCCTCCGTCTTCGTCAGTGCGGTCCTTCTCGTCTTCGCCCCCAAGGAGGTCTTTGCGACTTGGAAAAGCGCTTTTGGAGTTTGGGGCCGAACGGTGGTTGGAGGGGTTGGGCAGAAACCCGCTCGGGTGCAGAGTATATGAAGACGACGCGAAAGAAGCCGCGGCAGCATCGGTTTGACCGCTTGAAACGGACCGTCTGGCAAATGATGATGGAGGGATCGAAAGGGACTTTGGGTCCAAAGAGACTTCGGATTGCGATGTCGAAGACGTCCTTGGCTGCGTTGCTTCACCGGCTGCGCTCGAGTGGGGCTGCGATGATGTTCCTCACCTCTTCGCTTTCTTTTTCGGAGCACAGAAACCCGAGGGTCGCAGGGGCCATTTGGGACCCTTAATCCCTGGGGACCCGACAGGGATCTTGCACTTCAGTGACTGAGGAACGCGCCGCGACGAAGCAGATGATGTTCATCGTGGTGACTCGACACCTGAATGGAGTCAATCAGCAGATGAGGTTGCTCTTTGCCCAGCAGTGCCCTGGCGGCCGAAAAAAAACGACACACGCGACACCACACGTGCGAACCTGTGCTGAAACACGTGCGCCGAGCATTCAGCGTGCTGTTTTTTCCAGGGTTCCGGAACGGCTTCTTCTTTCGGAGGTTGAGCGTCAGCCAGCGGGTGAAATTGGTGACATTCTCGGTCTTGTGGGGCATCAGAAGTCGGGAAAGAGAGAAGCCTGTCCAATCTCCAGACTCTTGGGTGTTGTTTAAGCTGCAGAACGTGAAAAAGTACGACCAGAAGCGTGCAAACCGTGGGTGCCCAGAAATAGGTCAGAGTAAGAGTGAACAATGTGGGCAGAGGGATACAAGAAATTGGCTAAGCCGGTTCGCACGCGTTGTTCTGCTAAGGGGTACTCGTACCTGCTGGCACCCGTGCAAACAAGTACCGTGCCGTTTGTAAAGACATTGCCAGAGACCCGGGCAAAATGGAAAAGGAAGAGAGAGCAATGTGTTTGATGATTACTGTTCTCACCGCGGAAGTGCCTCGGGGGTTTCCCCCCGGAACCGCCCGAGGGGGCACACCGCGCCTTCACCAGCACAGCGAAATTGGATATCCGGGTTATTAGATGCAAGATAATACTAGAGCGGCGCCGAAATTGGTGCTGGAGAGCCTGTCAAATCGGAGCATTGTCGGGCTACGGTATGTTGGGCCCTGGAGCAGTGCCTTTCGTGACTGCTCAATCTCATGGGCCCCGGTTTGAGACACCGAACCACAGCATGTGGCCCAATTGGGCATGTTCATCGAGGTTTCATGCCAAAACAACGGCTCACCCCAAAAAGCATGAATCATCCCATTTCGTCCCCAGACACAAGTGGGCCCCAGATTTGGTTGTTGACCCCAGAGAAACCACCGCGGTGGGCCTGGGCAGCTTGGCCGTGGGCGACGGGAACCGCCCCATAGGATGGAGGCCATGGAGCAGGCGATCCGCAAGTGCCCTGGCCAGATGTGGGTCAAGCGCACTTTCAACCAAGACGGCGATGTAAAGTGATGTTTCTTTGATAGCCGTCTTCCATAGAAAGTGGCACTTGTTATGTTTTTTCTATGTGAAGTGGTACTGGTTTTTCCTGTGCAGATCATGTGCCACCTATAGAACGTACATTCCCTCCGTTTCGGAGCGCTCGCGCTCCAAACTGGCAGACATGTGTGCGACCAAGTGGAAGCCTTCCAAGAATCTGTGTGAATGAAGTATAATGAAGTGTGGGAGGGGAGAGTGATTCCTCCACTTGGATTGGGCAGCGAAGACGCGGACCTCAATTTTTGAGCCCGCGTGAAATCCGTACACCGAAACGTGACAACCGTGACAACGACCCCAAGAGGACAAATCCCCAAGAAATCGGTGAAATCACTCAAGGCGCCATCTGCGCAGCCACCTGCGCGAGGTACCGAGGTACTGGGCTGCTGGATTGGAACTTGGTCCATACATTGAGGACGATTTCCTACTACTACTTTCAGAAGCTCTCCATTGCTGCAGTACCCTGGAAAAACACAATGCAGGCGGAAGTGCACCCCTCCAAAAAAAAGTGGAGCCTAACAAATGAGCCTGGGAATCTGAGAAACAGAGAGGTGGACAATGGTGGACATGTTCATCTCTCGCCACACCTGACCATTTTCGGGTCTGACAAAGCTTCAAGTCCACTTTGCCCGGGTTCATCGCCTACTCAGGTCCCTACTCAACACTCGTTGGCTCCCTGCCCGAAACTGGTTTGGGGTCGCATGGTTTATTAATTGGGTTCCCCCATTCAGATCATATCCCCATCATAGGTCTACCTCAAGCACTTGAGTCAATCGCCATGATCGCCTTGAGGGCGGCGTTCGCGGGCGGCGCAGGGTGGGAAGAAGCTGAATTTGTTCGAAGCGGCAGGACATGCCCTGCGTGAGTGGGAAGATTCCTCCGAATGTCAGCCACGTACTTGGCGACTCTACTACGGAACCCTCTTGCAACATTTGGGCACAGCAAAGTTACTCAGGATTGTTTGGACTGACACCTTTGTGTCTTCGCTCGAATTGAGGATCACGAAGTGCTCGCTCTGACCAACTCGTCAACGACTGGCATGGTGTGGTTTCTTGGCGCTAAGACTGATGGATGCGGGCCTCTCAGGGTAAGACAGGACAAGGACAGCGGCTCGGGCCAACCAGGCTCCTAGAGTTCTAGAGTGGTTGATCGCTCACATGGTTGCAGGAGCAAGTGGTAAAACAGATGTTTGGTGCTATTCCTGTTTTCGGCACCACACCACCACCCCACCACACCTCTGCTTTCACTGAAGACAGCTCGCAGTTTTTTCGTTCGGTTTTTGGTCACAGCAAAGCTCCCATGGCGACCAGACACCGATCACTGCCGCGAGCTGCTTCGATCACTGCCACGTCCAGGTTCGCCTTGATCTCATCGGTGTGCATCATCGCAACTGTGGCAGCTTGGCACCCATCCCTACAGGTCCAGTCTGAGTCTGACCCACCAAACCTGGTCCTAAGAACAGATCGAAATGGACGGGGGAGCACGCTTGTGCACTTGTGGCTTGAGCACCGTCGCAGTGCATGTTGAATAGGGTGGAAAAAACACCAAGGACAAGGAAAAGTATTCATGAGTCAAGTGTTTTAGTAATATATCATATCTATATCATATCTATAATATATATATATGGTAGTTGATGAATATTTGAATGCGTCAGGCTTTCAAGTCTTTCGTTCCATGAACCGGCTATGTTTGAAGAAGCCGGCTGGTGCACCTGCGACATGTCAAGTGACTGTGCCGGTGGCTGTGCTTGATCGAGCTGGGTTCAAGGACCGCATCCGCGCTTGGGTGCATGAGGTGTCGAAGAAGATTGACGTCTCCCTTTCGAAGCATGAGAAGCGTTTGGATGGGATGTTGGAGTCGGCGTTGAAGAAGTACATTGGTAATTGGAAAGCGAGGCATGGGAATGCATGGGAAGGATTGCTAGTTGTTGGACGACGAGGATTTCATTTTGCTTCGCTGTCGGCGGCGCGGAGCACGACCGAGGACGGCTTGTTTGGCACTGCTTTAGATCATTCGAGGTTGAGTGTAAGAAGCTCTTCGTTTGTTAGCGCGAGTGTGGTGCTGTAGGCCCCACCCCTCAGGATGCAGGGTGAGTGTGTGCTTGAGTCCCCCCGCAGGATGCACCAAGCTGCAGTATGAGTCAAGATTGGCGATATAAGTGTGCATTTGACTGAAAGTGCACAAGTGCGTGATTTCTTGGGCACGCAAGTGTGCCCAGCCAAACACTGCGACGAGAAATAGAACGCTTGGATCAGACGGGCACAACACAATTTGCAAAAATAGGCTGAAAAGAAGGCGCCCGCGAAACGCAGCTTGAAGGCACGCAAGGCAAGGCTCGCTTTCACCTTGGTGAGCAGCGACGGATCGTGTTCGGACTCCTTCACTTCAAGCTGAAAAAAGGGCACCGTCTCACCTATCTCCAAGGGGCGCAAAAGAGCGACAGCCGGCTGGTCAGCTGGCACACAGGCTCAACTTAGCGGAGGCCACTACTTGGAACTGGAAAGCGCATGGGCCCCAAAACTTTAAAGCACGTTTAGTGTTGAGATCTGACAAGTATTGAAAAAAAAATGTTGATTATTGCTTGCTTTCACTATGGCTTCTTCATGAATTCGATCACTATGTATTTTTTGGAGCTGATACGACCCGTACGACCAAGTTTATGGAATCGAAAGAAAGCAAAAAATGATCCCTGGACAAGCAATAAATTTGTCATGGACTTGTTGTATGTTTCATGAAATTTACGAAAATGCTTAGAAACGCTTTCGAACAACTTGTGAAAATGATATCACAATTGTGTAGCTTCAAGACAGTCTGTAAATTATAATATATGTTTCATGACAGAATTTATGAACGTTTGAAAGGTTTATGCAATCATTAATGTCCAATTCCACGTAGTTGCTTTCGCATTAATGCCTCAAAATAGATCTATCTTGAGGTGGCTTTACCGTCTTGTAGCATTTCAAGTTTAGTGGAAACCACTAAATTCAAGTTCCACCTGCCTGTCAACTCTTGGCTGTTGGCACTGGTGCACTGTTTCGATCTGGTGTAACCCGCGACCTGGATGTGTATGAGCCCCCAAAACAATGTTTACCGGAAGCCACCTGACTATTAGCTCTTGGTCTTGGTGTTCCATGGTTTTCCTGGGTCAGCTTTTGCAATGTCTGGAAATTCCATGTGCCCTGTGACATCGGGGGGAGGGAGGTATACCAGGCATGAAGAAGCGAAACCGCACTGCATTCATAGGCAAACATGCACACATGCACACACCGCGGAACGATCCATACCAAGGTTTTTTGCCACACCCAACCGTTCATCGTTAGTAAAATGAAGTCGAACTGACCTGCAATCACTGTCTGGTGGGATTATGTCATGCCTACGAGTCACTCGTGAACAAGAAGAACATCGAAGTCCAGTTCTTTTTCCGATAGGAATCATGTCCTGTAGATGTGTTTCACGGGGATGGGGCGCATGTTCTATTTACATCTAGTTACATCCTCCAAAAACCATCCAACACCCCTTTCCGAGCCTCGCTTGGGCCACCTTCGCCGTGTACGAACCTACCAAGCCGTTGCGGAGTGTCCCAGGTCATAGGAGTACTGATCTCCAAAGGCCTCAGCCACGCGCGGAGCCAAGCCACTCAGGCGCCGGTCCCCGCACGCACACAGTGCGCGGCCTGGAGCGGCGCTTGCGTTGTACGGAATTGGTGTGCTGTGAAGTGATGGAGTGAAGATGGGGAGAACATGGGAGAGCTGAGCATACGACTTCGGTCCAAAAAAACACAGACTGCTCACACCAATGTTCTGTAGGGCAGCTATGCAAGTTTTGTGGGAAACCCACAAAGATCTCAGCCATCACCCTAGCTCGATGACGTGTATGTTTGCCAGTTACGAAAGCAAACGCTTGTGAATATGACAGAAGACCAAGAAGTGGTTGAGTGGTTTTAGTGCCAACCAGTCAATTACATTGGTTCTTCAAAGACAGTTGGCAGCTTGGTCGATGCCTGACAGGATACGAGAGCAGCAGATGAACCAATCACAATCACATCAAGTTGTTCCCTCCATTATACGATTTGGAGTGAAAACATGTTTCATGCCAGGCATCCAACTCACAATATGTGTCGAATTACGTTCAATCCACATACGTACCTGTTTTCTGGATATGATAATCATCAGGGTAACCACCTGCCAGGTGACTCCACATGAGAGCCAGATGGTGGTCGGCCGCCCTGTCTATGGCAGCACGGTGGCAGAGATTCGAGACCGGCACCACTTTTGCAAAAGCTGGTGGAGAGCGGCTGCTCGTTTCACTCTCAAGCTCGGCAACCGCGAGCTTTGGTGGGCATGTGTAAATAGGCATGTAAATAAATACTCTCTGTATAGTTCAGATCCAACATTTCAGTCTTTGGAAAGTAGCTCGTTTTTTTGGACCCGGAAATCGATCTGCCCCGATCGAGCCTGCTTTGCGGCATCGGACCGTCCAAGGCAAAGAGCCATCGGAATTGGTCCAGGGTGCCTTAGATCCGGAGACGGCGGCTTCGTGTGGAGAACGGAAGAGCCGAACCGATCCACGGGGGACAAACCGTACAGGTGAGACATGGAAGTCAACACATGAAGGCCCGCATCGCCAGGAGGCCCTACCCTCCCCTGTTCCCCTGAACCTGTCAGATGGATCCGGGCGCTGTTTGGCGGGGACCGGGAAGGTCGTTGGACCCTGAGGACCGGGGAGGGTGGAGGCCATGACTACGAACGTAACAAGAAGCTACGAACGTAACACGGACGCAGTGCCTTAAGAGAGTGGGTGTTGGATGGTGTTGGGAATTTCTGGAGTTGGGTGAGCTATGGTGAGTTTATGAGGGCTTCAGTCAGGTGGATTGGTGATTGCTTTCGAGCAGGTGGTGGAGGTTGGCATGAATGATGGGCCTCTGAAGTGGCTGAGTTTCTTGGGAAGATTGGATTGTTGGAAGTGCAAGTCCTACTTCAAACTTGATTTGTTCTACCATACCCTCAACGATCCTAGCCCCAAAAACCGATCGATTTCAGTGCAGCAACACCTCTAGCAGCTCGGAATTGAGAGCTGAGGAGTTTTGGTGGGCCAGGTCGACGCTTGGCAGACTTCCACGTGTTGGGTGCATCGTTCTTACTAGGTGGGCAATACCCAGATGGGCACATAAGAAGCTTGAAGGTTTGTCCTCGTGGGTCAAATGTGTCTTTGCGGGATGAGAACAGTATGTTTCTTGGATGAAGCCCAACACTATTCCGGTGAGCTGTCTTGGATGAAGCTCATCGTTTCGGACGATGGTTTCGGAGATCCGGATCGGAAGATCGATCGGACCATGGAGAACTTCATCCGATCGGATACGATCGGATCCGATGTTCATCGGACAGCATTGCTGTAAACAAAACTCATCGGAGAACTTCATTGGAGTTGTCCCTCAAAGATGTCATCAGAGATGTCATCGGTGCTTAATTTTAATCAGCTAGGATGTTGACGTAGATCTGGCACCTTAGATTTAATAAGGAGTCTACTTGCTTGCTAGTAATCATTTTTGGAAAAGTGCCCTGCCAACCCGGAACTTCGATTCTATAGAAATTTGGTCTTTCTGTGTTTGTTTGCTTTTTGACCTGACCTTGATTCTATAGAGTGTCAACCTCGGCATCACCAAGTTATAGCGCGACTTGCGGTCCCTGTCCGTCACGGCCTTTCATAGGCAGTGAAGTCGGAGGGGAATCATTGTCCCGTCACTCAGCCCACCACTTCCTCGCTCCTTGACGTTCGATACCACTCAACAACACCATCGTCAACTAATGTCAACTAAATCACCCACCTTCCTGGCCATATCAACGGTCCGTCTCAGAGGCTTCTGTGCAAAGTGTTTGGCCAGATTGGCCGTTACACTCACAGAAATGGCAGCTGGCCAACCAAGCTGAATCGCTGACATCCGTCGGTGCACCGAAACATGCGGCAAATCAATGAAGCCCCTACCCAACGAAAAACCAAGCTCTCTAGCAACCCCAGTAACCACCCCCCTAAAAACAGCAAGATCTACCGACAAAGTCTTGGTAAAAGCGTCAGCCAAAACATGTCGAGGATTGATCCAGCGCTTAATTAGTCGCTGGATCCTCAACTGGAAACTGTGATCGAGTGGCCAAGCGCCACCCAAAATAGAGTTCAAGATGTGAAATATGTCCTTCTTCTTCCGCCTCAAAATCACAAAAACTCAGAAACCGAAAAACCGAGGTCACAATTTCACATCCAAAACGGGATGCTGTCTTCGTAGCAGCCAGCTCAAAACTATAGAATGGCAATACCCAGTATCAAATTGGAAGGGGGCATGTACGGGGGGGACAAACATATACTGCTGCGCTACTTGGTGGAAGTTAGATGATTTGTCAGAGGGTCGTTCAAAGTTATTGATGTGACCCACAACGAAAGGGCTTGTCTCACGTATGAGGAAAGCAAGAGAGAAAACTTATGAAGACTTCATTCGGGTATCTTCATTCACCTGGAGACAGGTCGTCCATATGACAGGGATTACAGGGATCTCCCCTGTTTATTCAGTTAACTGAGTCAAAATGCGCTGAGATGGGGAGTGGACCTAGGGCTTAAGAGAGGCGACACCACTGGCGCCTTGAGTGATTCTCCCAGCAAGTAGCGGTTCGAAAAGAATCATCAGCATTCTCATGTAGAATATTGATCCGCCATTTGCGTATGAAGAGGTGTTACAATCCAAATGGGGAATCTTAGGGAAAATGGCATGTAGTAGCAAGAAGCTATTAGGTTGGAGACCATCACTATTAGGTTGGAGGCCATCGCTATTAGTAACAAGAAGCTACTAGGGAAAATGGCAATCCATATAAAAGTGTTCTTAGTCAAGATTCCACATTATGGGGCCCAGAAACACCATCACTACCAATGGTTCATGGGAATTGGATGTATCAGGTGAATTGGTCCAATCTCTTTCACTTCTGTTTTCCAAGGCTCCATAAAGCCACCTTTCGAGCACACCAACAAGGCATGGGGCGAAGTTTGGGAGATCAAGTTTATAGAGAAAAAGATGTTTTGGCTTGTCGTTTTTAGAGTTACCTCGTTCATCAAACATTGAGGTAGCAATGCGCCTTTCTCGGCGTAGAAGAAACTAAACTTGGTCAAGAAATTCTTCTTGAGCAAGTCAAGGGCGATTTGGATCCCATTGGCTGGTAGTCAAAATGTCTCAGACATATTCTCTGCACATCTCTGCACTAGTGAGTTGGGACGGACGTGAAATGACTGTGCAAATTTCGAAGTTCCATCTCATGTGTTTCCAAGTCTGTCCACAACTCCCATCTCATCATGCACACAGCTGGTGGTTCGGTAGAGCCATTCAAATTGATAGTGGTTGGCTGGATGTGGTTGGAATCTTACGGAATTGGTTTGAGGGGAAATACTGGCTGGTCTACTGTTTGATCTGCAAGGACATTTCATGGGTCAAACCATAGCTAAGGAAGCAGGAACACCCTTGCCGGACACCCAGGTTCTTCGCCGAAAGGTCGAGAAGCACCGAAGAAGCTCCGAAAGCAGGATGCCATTCCAGCCCCCGCGAAGGTTTTCTGGACCAAAACGTGTCACACTTGATGTTTGGTCGATGTTCTGGTCACTGGTTTCATGTTTCTGCGGGGCGAATGGTGGGGGAAGCAGCAGGATGGTCAGGTTGCGGAGCCCGCGACGGGGGAGCACACGACGTGTGTAAAGAGCGTGACCGTTCACCTCTCTTCGTTGATCTGTGACCAGGAGCCCCTGATAGCATCCTTGCTCCGTTCGTAGCGATGCCAGGAGCCCCTAGTAGCGAACATTGCTCCTAGCAAATGGCAGATTGGAAGCTTCTTCGAAAAGGTCGGCCCAGCATTGGCTCCAAGAGCCTCGTCACTGTCTTCACCAGCCTGCACAGGTGACTGCCTGATGGGGGAGCAATTACTTGTACAGAGCTACGAGCTGAATTCGTTGTCATCGGCCACGAACACCCTCTTCTATAATTACCCTGGGTCATGCCAGGCCAGTTAATTATCAAGTCGAACTAGAAGAGCTTTTGTTGGAGAAGGATAATTGCCCTAGGCAAAAAGAACAGGGCAGTTGACGGCCACCGAAAGCCACGGATGCTTTTTCACCGTCACTCTCTTGTGAAGGTGAAGAAGCAAATCCGGCTCTGCTTTCTACCTCTCATGAGGAACTGCCAATGAGAAATGAGCGCATTGTGCACGGAACGGAGCGGTGTCCCTGTTATGTACAGAACATGCTCGAAGATCCTGGGGGGACTGAAGCAAAGTAGAGAGAGATGAGATGTAGAGCCCTTTGAACCAATTGGAAAGCATATGAAAACATTCATTGTTCCGACGACTGGTGAAACGATACTTGGTTCGCCAGCTCCAATGTACTCGGTTCGCTTCAGCCCCTCCTGTTCGCATGTGTTTCCCGTTCCCCTTTTGGACTTCCTCGTCCGCCGAAGCCCGGCATTCGCGGCAGGGAGGCTTAACCACCGACCTCCCGACCGGCACGGTCGGTGGTCGGTGTGGCTTGATTCTACCGTCGGAACATCACCGAACTGAAAAGATTGACATTTCAATCAAGTAGTTATATAAGGTCGGTGATATAAGTAGTCCGGTCCGTCGTCCCCAAATAGTTAGAAAAGTAGATCCCCACTATGAATGTAGTGGAAAGCGGTTCTATCTATTTGGGGACCACAATATTTGGAAAGACCATGAAGAAAAGATCAGGCATGCCATGAGGTGGCAACAGGGCATGCAACAGATTTGATGTCAATGTCCGACAGAAGCCCAGTCTTAGTCCTGAGGCCACTTTTGAGCTTGGAGCTGTGCAAGTGTCACACGCCTCCTGTGAAGTTCTGTGGGTGATTTCGAGTGGATGAAGGCCAAAGAGAGATAAGCCATGGAGGCGACGGAGTTTTTCTCATGTGCACTGTGAGTTCCTCTTTGATGACTTGGAACATGTTTTTGTTCCGCAAACTTCTACTTTAGAGGTTTTTTTCCACAGGTGTTGCGCTTGGGTTTATCGTTGCTTCGCTACAAGAGATGTGTGTTTTTGTGCTTGTGAAACTTGGAAAAACACCCTCCGGCACTGAGAGAAGACGATGACTTCAAACATCTTCAAACATCTTCAAACAATCTCAGGTCTCCCAAAGTGTGCCTCCAATTTGATCAGTGCCACGATGTCCCATCTTGACTGAACATGGCAGTGGAACCTTTCGGCCCTTTTGCCCAAGGATGCGGCGCTTTGGGGAAGCCAAATGCCTGCAGCTTCAGACCAAGGCAGAAAAGAAGGGGAGACGGATCGAATGGCACATTATGCGGAAGAAAGAAAAGAGAGAGAGACTCTCTCTCTCTCTCTCACGTCACAGAGACATACTGAAGCGAGAGGGGGAGACTGAGAGAGACAGAGAGAGACAGAGAGAGAGAGAGAGACAGAGGGAGAGAGGGAGAGAGGGAGAGGCTGTTTTCTACACTTTCTTTTGCCGGTTGTCTTAGTGGATCTTCTTTGTTTTGGGCGGCCGTGAGCTTCCCAGGAGTTCATCCGAGTTTTGCAAAGATGGTCCACCCCTCGTCCAGAAGGGACTTTTGAGGTTTTTTTTTCGATTCAAGATCTTCTTTTATATGCAGGGAAGATTGTAGGTCACAACCACAGGGCAAGGTGGTTTTTGGTTAGGCCCAGTCTGGTACAGTGGGAACACCTTTCCCTTTTAAAGTAATTCAACAGATCTCTGAACTTTAAGAGGCGTGAGTCCCACTGGGACCTCTTCTCGTGATTTGCCACGTCTTGTGTTGGGAGAGTGGGAAAGCCATACAGACATGTTTTGCGAAACACAAGCCAAGCATTGCCCGTTTTGCAGGCAGAGGAGGCTGAGAAGCGTTTGAAGGACCTTTCTTTGGTGGTTGCCTCAAAAAATCAAAAAGTTGGATGGGCCAGGGCCAACCAATTGAATTCTTCATCGACTCTTCTGCAACAAATAGGATCAATCGTGAATCGCATCAACCCCGCTGTAGTCGCTGGTTCGGCCGAATCTCAGAAGCACCGCTGGGTTTTCCCATGGTACATGACATTCAGGATCTGCTTGTGAACTTGCAATCTCCGATCCACAAGTGGATCTGATGTGGATCTCCATTTTGTGAGACCAACGGAACGATTGAATGAAGCGGCAACTCTCCTCGACTCAGCTGGTTGAATGTGGATGTTGGAAGAGAAAGGGATTTGGGCCGTGTTAACGTGCAAAGAGTTCTAATAAGGTTCTAAACATGGTTCTAATATGGTTTTGCCAAATCATACCTTTGAAAACGAACACTCCCAAGGTGCCATTGACATGGAAAAACGTGGAAAACAGGTCCGTTGGGTTGGGAAGATTGAACTGGCTGGAAAGTTCCACGAGCCCGACCCGTTCCAGGAACTGCTTGACGACTTGGCGGACGAGAGAGCCCAGCGGGAGGAGTTCACGTGGTGAAACATGCTCGAGCTTTCTTCGTTTTCGTGCTGATTCCACCTTATGGGTTGGTGGAAGATGGAGTGCATAGCCAGGATTGATCCTATTCTCAGCCAGCACACTTGGATCTAATGATTCGCATCAGCTCCGGCAACTGCTAGGACCATCACAATGGAGCCACTCTCCGAAGACTTTTGCTTGTTTGGGACGTAGGCATCCATTGCTTCACAGTGAGAAGTACAGCAAGGCGGCTGTTTGAGATTCAGTCGGCCCCCCCCAGGAGCTTGAGCTGAAGGCTGCAGAGTTCAAGGCCTCCGGTTTCTCTTTTCTAGCCAAATCGCAGAGCCACGTGAGACTGTTGATCCCAATTTGGCCTCCAAAAAGATCGAAAAGAACCCGAGGCTTTGTGGTTGGCTCAAAGGTCAAAGGTAAACTCAGTTTGAGTTTCAGAAACAACGGTCGCAGCTTGTATATTTCAACCAGGTTTGGGTGTGTGTAAGATGTCTATATATGCATGTCTACGCCTCGACCTCATCAAAAAGACCAAGTTTGAAGACCTGTTGCACTGAATGATTGTGAAGCACAGTCCGTGCTTGAGCAGACTGAGACGAAGAGTCTGACGAAGAGTCTGACTTCAGAAGATCAGATCGAAGGTTAACTCTTAAGACCGAGATCAACACACCAAGATGGATCTCCTCGGCCCACTGGGAGAGTGGGATAAGAAGACGAACACTGCAGTCGGATGTCTCAGTAGAAGTACATGAGCTCAGTGAGCTCTCAAAAGAAATAGGATGCAGGGACGGCACTTGGATGGTAGATGGGGTTCGGGTGCCAAATATTCATCCTGACCTGGTGGAAAACCCCTTGGGAGGGTTACCCCAGTCTGCAACTTGTACCGTCCAATATAGTCAGTTCTAGAGCACAGCTTCATTGCTTTGGGTACAGGTTTGTTCGTTCGCCCTCATGAAATGATTGGTCCTTCGATGGCGCCGAACTAAACGGATGCAGCTCATCCCTTCGATGCCTGTGACACCCAGAACTCGCCGTTGGACCGTCAGCCACGAGTGCCAGGCATCGACGCCGTTGGAGCGGCGCGAGGAACCGCTTCGAGCGGCGAAGCCGTCGTTCGGATGAGTCGTTCGGGGTAGGGCTCGCCCAGAGAGCCCCTTGAAGGGAATTCCATGCAAACCGTGTGTTCGTATGGTGTCTACACCTTGAAGCAGGGTTCCTTTGCACCCAAAACTACAGAGCCGAAGAGAAGAGAAGCTATTTTCAGAGGTCCTCGGATCGCGGATGCGTGTCGGACCGGATCTTCGCGAACGACCGCCGCGAAACGGGTCTTCAGACTTCTCCGTTCGAAGCGCTGCACGGTGGCACTTAAGGATCGATCAGTCGATGAACAGCCTGAGGCAGCCTGACCAGCTGGTCTCCTATGGTAACGCTCGTGATTGGGGCTTTCCTTTGGCTTTGTACAGAGAAGGAAGATCCTGGCCCATCCAAGGCCCATCCAAGGCCCATCCAAGGCCCATCCGGGCCCCCCAAACATGGGTTTGTCCAAAAAACTAAGGAATGTCCTCCAACATGTGTCCACTCCAGTGTACCCACATGGGTCCATTGGTCTCGCCACGTGGGCAAACTCAACTCAACCCAACCAGAAACTCAACCCAACGAGTGAAATTGAGCGCATTCGAATTCCATACACATCAAAATCTGTTTTATACACAAACCGCTCAACATTGGGCAAACCGCTCAAACGCTCGGTCCCAGCGGTGACGCCAAGCAGACCGCGCGGTCCCACCGGTGTGCCAGGACCCGGACGAGCTGGAAGCGCGTGCGCTGCGGGCAGAGGCGGAGGCGAGACGGGCTGCGCCGAGAGACGGTGGGAGATCCCAACGGCCAAAGCTTCTTGTTACTACTAGTAACAAGTGCCTCGCTAGTAGTAACAAGTGCCTTACTACTAGTAACAACAAGCTATTAGAATTAAATTAAAATTAAACTGTTACTTGTTAGTAAGGCACTTGTTACTACTAGTAAGGCACTTGTTCCTAAGGAAACCATGCCCAAATGGTGGAAAGGCAATTGGAACACTATGCAACACTAAGAAGTCCGACAAATGGTTTGTTTTTTCGGAGGCCATCGCTAGTAGGTTGGAGGCCATTACTACTAGTAACAAGACGCTAGTAGTAGCTAGTAGCTATTATTTGCTATTGCAAAACTGGGACTTGGTTAGGATGTTCACTAAACGGAACTGGCCTCTTTGGCTGGTTCCCAGCACGAGAGAAGAGTCTCGGTCTCAGCGCCAGGGAGCATGCTACGTCCGTAGCGTCCCTTGCTCCGTTCGGGGTCCGACGCCCTTTGTTCCGTTCGTAGCGTCCTCTTGTTCCTATGTCTAGCAGTAAGGCCAGGATCGCCCCGTTCGTAGCGTCCGATCGCTCCTTCGTGTCTCCTTCGGGTCGGAAGGTTTTGGTCATTCATGCTTCCGCTATCCACAAGAGCACGTTGCTCGAGCGAGGTCAGACACACACAGACACACATCTAAGATCATCTAATAAGTACTAATAAGTACGTCCCATCCAGAAAGGTGCGGTGCTTTCCATCGAACCATCTGAATCTAAGATCAGTTTACAGATCAGTTTACTTATTTTACTTTCATCTTAGATGATCATTACATCTAAGTGCGTTCGATTTTTGCATGTCCAGGTCGATGTCGGATCGGTTGGAGCACACCAAAAAAAAAAACACGGCCGTGGCAATTTCTGTGCTGGACAAGGAGAAATCTGCGCCTTCCTTCTCCAGGTTTGACCCTTGAGAGTACCCTGGGTAGCTACCCAACGACCTTTTCGTGTGTTGA